TCCTAAATAGATATTCAACCCAAGCAAAATTAAAATAGCTTTATTAACTATCAAAATCAAGAATATATTACTTTAAATAATAAGAAAGTACATTACCTACAAAATTTCTCAACAGGGAAAATGGAATTAATGCAGCCAAAAGATTGTAGAAGCCGATAACAGCCAACTCATTATACTTGGGACTCACATTGGGGTTTAACCTATAGTTTATATTGCGCCCACTTCCCCAAGGTACTATCCTAACAGGAATTCCACATGGAATATGCTGCTCTAGCTCAGAAATCCAACTGAGGGGCCGCTGGCCAATAAATTTCATGTAATTTTAAATGTCATTCTAAATAACAACAGTGATGCTTTTGTTGTTTTCAGTGATTGAAGTTAGAGCAAAAGGAAGATTTCTGTTTTAATGGAATGGCCACATATGACTAGAAGAAACTCCTGCTGCGGGGCAGGGCGGTGCCTCCCTGCAATCTCAGCACTGCAGAGGCTGAGGCAGGAGGATGGCCACACATTTTAGGCCAGCCTGTGCGACATAATGAGTTCAAGGTCAGCTTGAGCTGTGCAGTGAGACCCCTGCCTAAAAAGAAAATAAAATAAAATGAATAAAAATAAGTCAAATTTAATTGTTGTTATGCTAACTTTGCTGTGATTATAGTAATCAGTCTTCCATTATATGGTATAGGATCAAAGGCTTTTGAAAACATGCATTGTCATGTAAGAAATGTACATTATCATTAACAAAATATTAATGAACTTTAAGTGAATTTTAATCATGAAGTTCTACTGCTATTTTATGAAGACTGTGTGTCATCCATGTGAAGGATCAAGGGAAGAACAGTTTAGATTCACTGCATATGGAACACAAATCCCTTCAACCTATAATTCGTAATGCAATTTTACATTGAGGTAGTGTTTAAAAACTCAAAGTAGGGCAGGGGATTTAGCCCCATGGTTCACCCACGTGCCTTGCAAACATATATTCCTGGGTTTGACCTCCGGTACAAAATAAATAAATAAACCAAGTAAAATAATCTTTGCTGATGGATTACAGATAAGAGGGAGGCGGAGCGGGGGACATACAGACTTGAACACGTGCAGTAAGGTTAGAGAACAAAGGACAGATGAGAGGGCTGCAAATTTCAACTTTTCAAGTTATGTTAAGTTTCAATTGTTTTAAAACAAAATGGAAAATTTCAGCCATGAACATGAAAAATAACAGAGAGATGAATACATCTCACTCTTCAGTCCCTTCTCAACTTTATGTTACTGCGGAAAGAGCAAGGCCTGGATCTCCTAACACCCCTGCCTCTGGGAACATTTCAGCCCCAGCCACCTGCCCAGTTGGGCGATGAGCTTGTGTCACCAGAGTTCCTGGGCTGGGCGGGCTGAAGGCCAAGGCTCACTTTTCAGCTCCTCGAAAGGAAAATCCGTGGTTTGTACTTTGGTGTTTTTCATGTTGTCTTCAGGCGTTGTGTTAGTTTTTGTAGTTCATGAAGCAGATTTAATTTGTATTTTCATATACGACTTTATTTAGAATCTGGAAGAATATTGATTCCCTCTTATAAAATATGCCCATAAACCTGTATATTTCCCATGCATTCAAATCATTGTCTCTTTTACTGGAATTCAGTTGAATCTTGGTTGAGTAGATATCCTAATACCTTTCCTGCAAAACTGTCTCTCAGAACCTGCATTGTCCACTTGCAGAGCCTTGTTATCTTCCATCTGAACCCACAGACATGACAGCCCAGCACCACACCTGGCTAGGTCTTCTCAGGACCTGGGACCCCAACACACGGAGAGTCCAGCTCCCATCTCCTGATCACCCCTGAGCATCAGAGGACCACATGGTCCCCCAGCCTGGCTTCCATTCTAGTACCTGCTAACAGGCACAGAACAGTTTACAAAGGACATAGCTGCTTATATCCTTTCTCTTGGAGACTGGGTCTTAAGCATTATAGCCCAGCTCTCTGGGTCTCAAGCCAGGACACCCTGGGGGCCAAAGGTGGGGAGGGCCTACAGGAGAAGACAGGAGCATTGGGCAGCTGGTCTGGTTCTCAGGATCCCTACAGGACAGCCCAGGGCAGAGGAGCTCAAGGTCTCCTCGGGATCCACCTCCTTTCATGTCCACAATGGTGACCACACCACCCAAAAGTATCCTCTGGGGACACGTCGCTGTGAGCACTGCACAGCACACTCAGCTTTTAGCTACAAAAGCCCTGCCCTGGAACCGGAGTTGTCAGCCCAGGAAAGAGCTGGAAAAGGCTCCAGAGCAAAGTTCCAAAACCCTGGGCACTGCACTTGGGAAACTGTTATCAGGCTACCATCAACTAAAAGGGAATTCTGGGCACATGCTTTTTATTTGAAATACCTTTCAGGAAAGTGATAATTAATCTCAGACACTGTGTATTTTCTGAGTTCTTATTGCGTGTATGTTTGTACCACAGTCGTAAATGCTGTTTAAAAATTAAATACATTTAACTGCATATATTGATAAACATGTTCAAATACTTAAAAACTACCTCTCACACATTCCTTGAGAAGCCAGGTGTGAGACCAAAGCCTGGGTTGAACTCTCCCTGGGACGCAGTGTGGGGGGAAAGCACAGTGTCCCCCGCTCAGGCTGTTCACTCTCTTGCAAGAATCAACCTGTTCCAAGGACAGAAAAACCTACAGCTGAAGTCTGATTGAAAGAAAATACACATTCGGGTGTAGCCCACAAATGAGAACTGATGAACTTTCCCTGAACCCTGGATCACATGCTTGCTTGCTTCTTCTTGGTGAGGATCCAATAAAAGTGAGGAACCTTATCAGTTCAGGGATCTTTGTCCACCAGAGATAAGAGTACCCAGGTCCTCCTCCTCCAAATTAACTTTGGACATTTTGAATTTTGTTCTCCCAGATTCCCTGATTTTGGATAAAGTTGCAGTCTAGATCCTACAATATTCAAAATTATTTTAATTCTGATATTTTTTATTTTTCTCATAGATAAACATATCACTAATATTTACTCTCGTCTTTCTCTTATTTATTTTCCAGAATGGGTTCACAGTGTACAGAGGGCACTCATTATGTAAAAGACACCAACAAACATGCCATTCAGTCTTTTGATTACAATGTCCATTCTACATTTACCCAGTTTGAAAAGCATTTCAGGTACTGATATACTGGCAGGTGTGATGTGTGCATACTGCTGTGGGTCATCATAACAAAGGAAAGTGGTCCATTTCTACATTCCTTTTCACGGGAAGAGAAGTACCTCACACTGTGAATTTTGGTATTTTCATCAACTGCATATTCAACACCAGTAAATGAAAAAGTGTCAGAGCAATGTTAAGAGAAGATTCCTGGATACCTGGAGACCAGCAGCAGTCTTGCTGGACTTCATACGAATGGCACATGTGCCTAAGATAAGAGGGCTACCCTGAAGAAGTTTGACTGACTTCTTCTCCTTTGTACATCTCTTCCAGTGAGATTTAGACCTTCTCTGGCTGTCCTGATGGTAGTTATGTTTTATTTGATGGTGCAGGATTCTTTCAAGCATGGACTCGTTAAACATCAGTTTATTGACTTTGCTTATCAAGGAAGGTGCTTATTTCTCTTTTGATATGGAAGGAAAGCCTTCCCAGGTGTAGTGGTCTTGGCTGACAGTTCTTTTTCTGTAGATGTTGAAATACAGCATTCCCTGTTCCATTGCGCTGTAGGATTTCTGTTAGCGTACTTGCAAATAGGCGACTTGTACTCAAATAGGCGACTCATAAGTAAGTCATTGTATTTTCTTTCTTTATATTTTAAAATAATTTACTAGCTCTACCATTTTAAGACTTTGCCTATAACATAGCAAGTTGCAGATCTTCTGGAGTCATGTTTATGGGCCACTGGAACCCAATTGTCTATGATTTTCCTAAGATTAGGGAAGTTTTCTGCTTTTACATTACTCCACATGTTTTCTGTGACCTTTACCTTGACTTCTACCCATTCAGGTATTCTCATGAGATGGGTATTGATCTGGAGCTCTCTAAGGAGCTCCAGAGAACTGGAGGACCTGGGGCCTCTGTTCTGGCTCTGTTTATGGGGCGGGATCAGACCCTTCCCCACCTGGAGCTTTGCCCAACTGCAACAGCCTCCCGGCCACTCTGCCTGTGTCATTCTTCCCGTGGTCCGCGTGCAGCTTCTCTGTCTGCTGGTTCACGTGTCCTCCACGTACCATTCAGGACTTTACCTTTGATGTTGTTTATGTGTCAGCAAGATGCTGACTTTTTCATGGTTAATTTAGAGACAGAATGAGGGCATGGGGATGTTTCTTATAGTCTATAAGTCTGCAATGAGTACAGTAACTCTAGAGTGGAATGTATGAGGACCCTACAGTAGATAGATTCATATATATGGCTACATGGGTAGATAGATAATAATATTAGTGCTTAGCTGTGAGCACACACTGCCATAAAGTAAGTGCCAAACACCTTTCTCTTTCCCTATAGTACCTTGAAGCAGGGGGATTTTCCTTGTGTGCCCTTGGCTCCCTCTGCGCATCCTGCCTGTCCACTCCTCCTTCTCAATCTCTTTGAGCAACTTATAAGGTCATTTGGTGCCTTTGCTATCTGGTTCTTTTCTCTTTCTCTACCTCTTCCTTGACTTGCTTCTCAGGGAAATTCATCTTTTATTGTTTAGTTTTTTTGTGTCCTTCAAAGCAGGATTAGCTAGAAGACCTAATGTGTCCTTAGCTTTCTTGTCTACAATCCCTTCCCTACAGAAGCATGTCATAACAAAAACCCAACAAACCACGGAAAATGACTGTAGGAGAGACAGAAAGCAAACACTAAATCTTCATTTATATGTACATACTTAGGTCTCACTAGAATAATTTCTATTTGTGTCTATCCATTTCTAACATTGCTCAGTACTTATTCAGTGTCATGAGGAAGTTCTTTTTCCTAAGAATTTATAAAAATGAACTCCTTCTAAACAGAGCACTAAACAGTTCTGTTCTAATACTGCACTTAAAGTGAGCAGACTCTACCACACACAGCCCTCCTGAGGGCCTTTTTGACCTCCGTGTTCCTCAGGCTGTAGATGATAGGATTGAGCATGGGGGTGATGACCCCATAGAGCATGGAGATGAGTCTGTCCCTGGCAGGGGAGTGTCGGCTGGACGACGGCCGGATGTAGGTGAAGATGGCTGTGCCATAGAACAGACAGACCACCAGGAGGTGGGAGGTGCACGTGGAGAAGGCCTTGCGCTTCCCCTCTGCAGACTGGATCTTCAGGATGGTGGAGATGATGTAGACGTAGGATATCAAGGTAGTCAGAAAGGAGCTGGTGGCAAGGACTCCTCCTATCACTAAAGCAAGCATTTCTGCCATGTAGGTGGATGAGCAAGACAAGGCCACAATCTGTGGGATATCACAGTAGTACTGTTTGACCAGATTGGACCTGCAGAAGGACAGGCTGAAGGTGGACACCGTGTGGATGGTAGAATTGAGGAACCCAGCTGCCCAGGTCCCACACACCAGCTGGGCACAACGAGCCTTGGTTATGATGACAGAGTAGTGAAGGGGGAAGCAGATGGCCACGTACCGGTCATAAGCCATGACAGCCAGCAGGAAGACTTCAGTCCCAACTAGGGCCACCAGGATATACAGTTGCAGAGCACACCCAACAAAGGAAATGCTGTGGTCCTCCGTCAGGAGGTTGTGCAGCATCTTTGGGACGGTTGTTGATGGGCAGAACATGTCTAAGAGGGACAAGTTTGCCAGGAAGTAGTACATGGGTGTGTGCAGCTTTGCCTCGGTCCCGATGGCCAAAAGGATGGACCCGTTTCCCACCAAGGTCACCTGGTAGATGATGGCAAAGGCCACAAAGAGAGGGTAACGCACCTCAGGGAGGTCAGAGATCCCGATGAGGATGAAGTGAGTCACTGTGGTGCCATTGTAGACGTCCATCTGCTCTGTACAGCAGGTTCTTCCTGGAAGGAAGAGGTCAGGGAACACAGGTTAGGGAGCCAATCAAGGTGCCTCTGAGTATTTCTTGGAAAATAGTTCCAACTTTATTGAGAAATTTCAGTGATCTGAACTACTGTACTCACAGAAGTTCCTGATGCATTTATCCTCTGATCTTCATACGGAGGGTGCCCTCTGATTACTTCAGAGATCCAGGGTAATTCATCTCTTCTATCTTGATTTTTAACTTTCCACATTATTGGAGGTTTAACATTCAGGAAGAGCGGACTGTGACTTTTGCACAAGCTTGTGGGTACCTGCTTTGTTGTGTCCCATGTTACTTCAATGAGTAACTTGTGTAAGATCTCGCAACATGAACATCTTCAGAAGCAGAACCTGTCTAGAATAAATTTGGAGCTGTATAATATATAATACATAATATATATATATATATATATATATATATAATCCTATGAATCATATCTTTTCTATCATATATATTATCATTATAGATTACATACATGTGCATACTGTGCACATAATTTTATTTTTTACATAATCTAAAAAAACTAGAAAATATGCAAATATTCATTTATATATGCATCATGTGCCAAAGCATTGTATAAATGGTATGCTTTTTATTCAGGTATGTACCAAAAACCATAGGAATACAACCCCTTTGTAAGTTCAAAAACATTAGCTTTTCCTTACCAGTGCACATTATGAGAATGTTTAAGAAATTCATTAAAATTGTGAACATCAATACTCTGGAATTTTTTTCTATTGCTTTGAAATTTTTTTTCTTTTCAATCCCATGTATGTGATACCAAATTCATAGTTAATAGTTGTCTTGAGAACAGAATGAAAACAGAAGTTTTGAGTCCCCTTCTAATATAATCTAGAGAAAACATGCAATGCTTTATTTGCACAAAGAAAATGTAAATAATAAATATGACACATAATGATTTATTTACACAGATCACACGAAAGTCCTTTCTGCTTTATTTTTTTTCTTGTGAGATGTAAAGATGAACTACCAAGAGTATGTGGCAGACAGCGGTTATGCTATCTCCTTAAGTATAGCAGACACGTATCATGATTTGGAGAAAATCAACTTGTTTTCACAATCTCTTTAAATCACAAAATATAAGGGGAAATGGTGATAAGTAATGACAAATTGCTTGTTTACCACCCAGTTTTTATTACTGATTTATTTTTGGTGCTGGGGATTGAATTCAGGTCCTTCTGCTTGCCAGGCAGGTGGTGGAACCGCTGAGCTAAACCTCAGGCACTACCCAGTTTTAAAGGAAATGTAAAGACTGCGTGACAATGACTCAAACTAAACCAACTGTTAGGTGAGCGTTAGGTTTTCACTGTTCACGATATAGAGATCTAGGAGCATCTTGTCTGCACCTCTGCATATAACTGTTTTGAAAACAGAGGAGCAGATATGGATTAATATTGCTAAAAGTAATTTCTAACACATTATGTATTAATTAAAAGAGGAAATGCTCATTATCATTGCCCATAGTTTTAAAGTACAATTTTAAAATGAATATATGAGTTATAATCTAATTAATATGTATAATATATTGTTTCTCAATATATAATCAACAGGAAGATATCAAAATTTCCAGCAAATTTTGCCTAAATTTTGGAGTTGATTAGTCTTGTTGAATAAAATGTATTGCCTTGAAAAATAGGAAGAGGAATTTTTAATATGGTGACAGAAGTTGTATTTCCATGATCAACCTCTTATACAAATTTAACTATGTCATATATTTTTGGTCTAATTAGGAAAATAAACATGAGATATCAATAATGTGTTATTTAGGAAGAATTTCTAGAGCCTGCCTCTACTCTGAAAGAGCAGTGCACTGGTCCATTTACTAGGGATTCAGAAAAGTTCCCCTATGAAATGTAGTCTCTCTATACGATTTGTGGATTACAGGAATCAGTACTGATTATAACTACTGAAATATGTAGTGAGAACCAGCACGGTGAATGAGTGTCTCACAACGATTTCTACAGGAAGTTGCCCAGAATTCAACCATTGTTACTGATTATGATTTGCACTCTTTCCTGGGATCTATCACAAAAGTGCTATTCATGAAGGTTTCTTTTCAGAAAACAGTTACTTCAACTTAATCCTTCTTCAAAAATAACACTAACCACCTGGGAAAGACTGTTGTAAATAGATATTCAACCCAAACAAAATTAAAATAGCTTTATTAACTATCAAAATCAAGAATATATTACTTTAAATAATAGGAAAGTACATTACCTAGAAAATTTCTCAACAGGGAAAATAGAATTAATGCAGCCAACAGATTGTAGAAGCCGATAACAGCCAACTCATTATACTTGGGACTCACATTGGGGTTTAACCTATAGTTTATATTGCGCCCACTTCCCCAAGGTACTATCCTAACAGGAATTCCACATGGAATATGCTGCTCTAGCTCAGAAATCCAACTGAGGGGCCGCTGGCCAATAAATTTCATGTAATTTTAAATGTCATTCTAAATAACAACAGTGATGCTTTTGTTGTTTTCAGTGATTGAAGTTAGAGCAAAAGGAAGATGTCTGCTTTAATGGAATGGCCACATATGACTAGAAGAAACTCCTGCTGCGGGGCACGGCGGTGCCTCCCTGCAATCTCAGCACTGCAGAGGCTGAGGCCAGAGGATGGCCACACATTTTAGGCCAGCCTGTGCGACATAATGAGTTCAAGGTCAGCTTGAGCTGTGCAGTGAGACCCCTGCCTAAAAAGAAAATAAAATAAAATGAATAAAAATAAGTCAAATTTAATTGTTGTTGAGCTAACTTTGCTGTGATTATAGTAATCAGTCTTCCATTATATGGTATAGGAACAAAGGCTTTTGAAAACATGCATTGTCATGTAACAAATGTACATTATTATTAACAAAACGTTAATGAACTTTAAGTTAATATTTTAATGAGTTTATTGGTACATTCTAGGTGTACAATATAGTTACATTCATTATTCCTATCTTGTACCTTTACATGACAGGTCTTGGTTTTCATCTTTTCTCCTCAGACAAAGGGCTCTTATCTCTAAATATAAAGACCTCAAAACAATCAGCCCCCTGAAATGTAACAACCTGATTCAAAAATGGGTATCTGAAATGAACAGACATTTCTCAGACGAAGACAGCAAATAAATATATGAAAAAAATGTTTCACATCAATGGTCATTCAAGAGATGCAGATGAAAACAACGCTGAGATTCCACCTCACCCCAAAAAGAATGGCTGCTATCAAGAAATCAACCAATAACAAATATAGGCGGGGTTGTGGGAAGAAAAGAACCCTTCTCCACTTTTGGTGGGAGTGCAGCCTGGTGCAACCACTTTAAGTGAATTTTAATCATGAAGGTTTACTGCTATTTTATGAAGCCTGTGTGTCATCCAAGTGAAGGATCAACAGCAGAATACTTTAGATTCACTGGGTATGGAAAACAAATCCCTTCAACCTATAACTCATAATGCAATTTTACATTGATGTGGTGTTAAAAAACTCAAAGTAGGGCAAGGGATTTAGCCCCATGGTTCAGCCACCTTCCTTGTAAGTATAAGGTCCGGAGTTCGACCTCCGGTACAAAAAATAAAATAAAATAAAATAATCTTTGGTGACAGATGATAGATAAGAGGGAGGCAGGGCAGGAAACATAGAGACCTAAACATGCAGTAAGGTTAGAGAATAAAAGACAGACAAGAGGACTACAGTATTGCAACTTCTAAAGTTATAGTAAGTTTTTACTTTTTCAAAATAAAATGAAAAATTTCGAAGTGGAGCATGAAAAATAACAGAGAGATGAATACATCTCACTTCACCCTTTCAGTCCCTTCTCAACTTTATGTTACTGCAAAAAGAGCAAGGACTGGATCTCCTGACACCCCTGCCTCTGGGAACATTTCAGCCCCAATCACCTGCCCAGGTGGGCGATGGGCTTGTGTCACCAGAGTTCCTGGGCTGGGCGGGCTGGTGACCAGGGCTCACTCTCCAGCAGCTCAAGGGAAAATTCATGGTTCGTACTTGGGTGTTTTTCACAATGTCTTCAGGTTTTATGTTAGTGCTTGTAGTTCATGAAGTAGATTCTAATCTATATTTTTCTACATGACTCTAATTATTTAGGATCTGGAAGAATATTAACACCCTCATAAAATACGCCCATAAGCCTATATATTTCCCATCCCTTCAAATCCTCTTTTCTTCTCTTCTGTTGGAATTCAGTTGAATCTTGTGTGAGTGGAGGCCCGAGTGCCTCACCTGTAAAACTCTCTCAGACCCGCTGCTCTCCATACTCAGGGTCTTGCTCTCTTGCACCTGAACCCTCAGACCTGACAGCCCAGCACCACACCTGGCTAGGTCCCCTCAGGGTCCCGGACCCCAGCACAGAGCGAGGGCGTCTCTCAGCACCTGCTCACCGCGGGGCATCAGAGGCCCACTCGGTTCAGCCTGACTCTCACTCCGGGAATCCCGCCCACAGGACTGGGGCGCTTTATAAAGGACCCAGCTGCTCAGACCCTTTCTCCTGGAGGCCGGGTCTAAAGCAGTGCGGCCTGGCTCTCTGTGTCCTCGAGTCAGGACATCCCGGTGGCCTCAGTCGGGGAGAGCCCGCAGGAGAAGACAGGAGCATCGGGAAGCAGGCCTGACTCTCAGGATCCGAGCAGGACAGCCCAGGCCATCGGAGCTGAAGGTCTCCTCGGGGTCCACTTCCAAGGCTGCACAGCATCTCCCTCCACCGTGGTGACCACGATGCCCACACCCGCCCTCTGGACACACGCGTGTGAGGACTGCGCAGCACACTTAGCCCGCAGCTGCACCAGCCGCACCAGAAGCAGGAGGGGTCAGCACAGGAAGGCCCTGGAGAAGGCAAGGGGAGCAGTTCCCACAGAGATGCTGTCCGTGGGCAGGGAAAGGGGTGGAGAGGAAGAAGGAGAGGGAGAGGGAGGGAAAGAGAAACAGGAATTAGGATG